ACCTTAGATAAGCAAATCTATATATATCTTAAAAATCCCTTCAGTGTGAATGAGTGTTTTTCAAATCATAACTAAGGTATTATTTGTTTTCTTTGCATTTCATTCAAAGATTTGTTAGGGGGAAAAGGATGATGTCCTAAAGCTAATTCCATACAGGCCTGTGGACTCCACCCCCACCCCAGGCCAAAGCCAAAAACACTGGGAACTCAAATCCCATCACCACCAAAGGGAAGGTAGCTGGGACCTGAGGGTGGGGTTAAGCAGCCAGGTTGATATAAAAAGCAGACACGTGGGCTTTGGGGGGTCCCCCCATTTTGGCTCTCCACCAGCTAGCAGTGTCTGGCCAGCTCTGAGAGTGACTTTGAGTTTCCAGGTCGTCTAATCGGGTAGGACGCATTAAAGACTTTATTTCCATATTTTCTCCCTGAGTTGTACATTTTCCTTATTTGCTTTTACCTTGTAAATAAACCTTTTATTAACCTTTTGTGTGTGCCTGTAGTGGAGTATTAATAAGTTCCTTTTAAGCGCGCGGGTGAGGACCCACAGCCAGAAACCCGTTCAATATCGGGGCTGCCCTATAACAGATTGATCTAACACAGGAAGTTGAACTAGCGGTTCTATTATCAGGCTCTCAGTTAGCTTTGGAACACTGTGTCTCACTGTGCTTGCGGATGCCAGGAAAAGTATTGTGAAGTAAGAAATAACTAAATAAATCTTAAAAAAAAGAAAAAGAAAAAGAAATAGTTCCCCAACGGTAACACTGTCACTCATCCAAACATGATAGGAAACCACACACACACACACACAATGGTTCTTTGTAAAGGGATCTATAAGTCTCCCAATAGAATTGCTTCAAAAACAGGCTCATTTCAGTACATTGAATAAAGGCGCCTTTCTGACCAGCCCTTCCCTTCGTCTTGCCAAACTGAAGGCTTGTTTGATTGTTTTAATTGGTCGAGGAATGTATGGCAACGCTCAGTATGAAGTGTGCTTTGCCAAAAATCTGCCTGGAGTAACCTAGTAATTCACAAGGAAGCTGGAACCACACTGAGCTCTTCCTGCAGCACCCCAGCTCACGAAAACCTAGTCATTTTGTCTTTGTAGTTTCCTTTCATTTCCTGACAGGTCCATATGCCTGTCTCAGTGTCAAGTTCTGAAAGTTTGAATTCTTATTTTCTCTCTGATGAGCTATTAATGGAGTTTTCATTTATTAGGATGTGTGCATGATGTTAGTAAAAACTAAATGGAGACAAATTTCCATCCAGGACCACATTGAAACAGTGTCCTCTGTGGTTAGTGTTTGCAGGTTCACTTCTTACCAAGGATTAGTTATATTTTGTAGCCCAAAGTAGGGGAAATTTCCACCAAGATCCAGCCTTCTTCCTGAATCTACTTAGCCCTGGGTATGGTAAGATAATCTAAACTTGATCACATGGTTTTACAGCAAAAACAGAAACAAAAATAAAAATCAAAGTGAACTCCTGCCTGGGACTAATATGGAAATATACAAAGGGGGTAGAGAGAAAATTTCCTCCCATCCCTCTGGGTTCTTTTGGGGTGATAGAGCAAGCAAATTAACATCAAACAGATTAGTTGGAGAAAAAATATTTAATTCGATATGTATGGAGAATCTACATGGGTATAAATTTTAAAGCCAATGGGGCAAAACAAAGGTAGTTATCCCAAGCTAAGGAGTAGGATAAAGTCCTGGGGCTTCAAGGAAAGAATAAGGGACTCATGTGATGATGACCAAATGCTCTGTAATTAGCTGTTTTCCCTGCCTTGTAGACATATTTCTCTAAATGAAAGACTATGGAGAGAACTCTAAATCTGGGCAATTTCCTCAATTTTCATTCTTCTAGGTAGTTAACGAAGTGCTAAAAGTTTCTCTTGAGCCAGCAGGGCATCAGTTGACTTTAGCTCAAAATAACCCATATGTCAAGATGACACATATTGGGAAGGTTCATTCTGAACATCTTGGGGTTGGGCAGTTGGGTGTGCTGTCATTCAATACCAATGAACACAACATATACTGCTTCTTCTCCAGGGCATTCTAGGAATCCCCTGGACAGCAGTACCCCCACAGAGAACTTCCCAGACAAACTATCCAGTTGGAACTTATGGCTAGTCACTACCAAAAATGAAAATATCAGAGAATGCTAGCTAAAGAAAACATTAGATAAATCCCCTTCCCTTGGAAACTTGAAAATTAATAAATTTTAAGTGAAAGACATTCTTTTACATTTTATTCCAAATATATTTACTTCTCTAAATAATCTGAAGACAGATTGTTAAAAACTTAAGAGTATTTTTTGGTTTTTTCCCCTTTTTTAATTTAAAAAATTTTTTACATCATTGTTCATTTTAAAACATTTTTTACATCATTGTTCATTTTTAAGCAATTTGTACATCATTGTTCATTTTACCCCCATTCCCTCAGGTGTAGTCCCCATAGAGTTTCCTTCCCCAATGCACCCATGCACCATCACCTCAGTCCCCTGTGCTCCTCCCTCCCTCCCTCTGATCCCTCTCCCTCCTCCTCCTCTGCACTATGTCTCTGATTTATAATTTTCTGAAAAACTTAAGAATCTTAAAAATAAAAATATAACCTGGTTATTTCCAAATAGTTTTGGCAGTTGGATTTGATGTAATGAGATATTGTCACATGGAGATTTTGCCTAAATAGAAATAAAGATGTTTGTGTTCATTTTCATACGTTGTGTCCAAAGAGTACTTCCAAATTTCTGGAAAATATTTGTGTTCCCTGAAGTAAGGAAATACACCCCACCCAATTTCTTTTCATCCCAATTTGCATTATTCCTATTCTCAATATCTTCCTCTTTCTTTGGATAAACTTTGGCACTTGTTAGAATTCTCATGGATCACAAATCAAGAGGATCCAAGTGAAGTCCTATATGTTCACTTATCAGTCATTTAACATTTTCGTTAGAAAAGGGAAGTGTTTGATCTAGGTCTCCTTAGAAGCACAAAGTAAATTTCTGAATTAGCAGAAACACATGCAATCCATTCTAGTTTGGACTTGACATCCCAATAGAGAATAATTATTTCTTAAGAAGAGAAAAATCAGAGAACAAGGAAAATGCATGATGTGGGAGAGAATGATTGTGCACCAAGAAAGTGGGATTTTAGTACTCTGGTTTCTTGGGCTCTGATATCTTGGGATATCTCTAATTCCAGGTTATCTTGGGCTAACCACTGACCTTGCTGCATTCAGACACCGAGATCCTCCTTGGAGACCTTCTGGTTTATAAATCAATCTTTTTCAAGATTCCATAGCAATCCTGACAATCTTTTTTTTTATTTTTATTTTTTTAAAGATTTATTTATTTACGAGTACAAGAACTAGGGTACAGGCCAGAGGCATGCAGAGTGATAGGATTCACCAGGGACAGAGTGGGGAATAGAACAGGCAGATTGACTGAAATACACTGCTGAGGGGAGCAGAGGGTGAGTCAGGAGAGGTCTGCTGCGCCATGTGGGTAGCTCCCTGGCTGGGCGTTGAACTCATGCTGCAGTAGCTGCAGATAGCTGTATAGGTTGTGTCTTAACCCATTGCGCCACCAGGGAGGCCCCAATCCTGACAATCTTAAGTCTACATGGAGATTATATTTCTATCAACAACATACAATGACGTGGTGAATCCATATCAGCTAAAATTACCAACACTCACTACCTGTTTGTTAACTGAGCAGCTTTGATGGTGCAGCTAGGGTTTTGGCAACCCATTTCATATTGAAAGGACTATTTTGGTCTTGAAGATCCCAACTGGTGAAACCCTTAAGAAAATTAGGATATTCTAGATTTATTCCAGAGTGGAACTTAGGGAGAACAGGGAAAATAGGGAATGGCTTAATATTGGAGGAAAAAGAAAGAAACAGGAGGAGGAAGAGAAACAAAATTATTCCTAATGATTCAGCTCCTACCATGTGCAGTACATCACACATAATTGCATTTGTTCGGATGATAAACCTGTACCATAGTGTTCATTTTTCTGTAGATCAGGAAATTGAGATTCAGTGGCTGGCTCTCCCAAAGCCATTTATTTATCCAGTAAATACTTACTATGCACCAGGAACTATTTTAGATGGTGGCAAAACAATGGTGAACAGGGAAGACTACCCTTGTGGAGTTTACATTTTAATTAAATCTTTTTTAAACACAATTTAGATCATGACTCACAGTAAAAAAAAAAAAATCACATTAAACTATTGTACAATACATGTATCACCTAAATTAAAACAAATATATATTTAAAACAAGGTTTTTATAAATATAAGAACTTTTTTTTAATGCCTATAATGCATTCACTGATCTTTTCTATTCTGTTTCTTCTTCTTCCTTAAAGCTCATTTGGTAATAACCAATGAAATTTATTTCATGATTCACTAGTGAGTCACAACCTACAATTTGAAATGTGGTTCTAGGGCCTCCCTGGTGGCAAAAGTGGTTAAGCACAGCATTATGAAGCTATCCGTGGCTTCTGCAGCATGAGTTTGATCCCCAGCCAGCCAGGGAGATACCTACATGGCGCAGCAGACCTGTCTTGACCGCTGCTCCCCTCAGCAGTATATTTCAGTCAGTCTGCCTGTTCTGTTCCCCACTCTGTCTCTAGTGAATCCTCTCACCCCCCACACCTCTGCCCTATACCCCAGTTCTTGTATGCATAAATAAATAAATCTTTTTTTAAAAAATGTGCTTCTAGTTGACTTGAATAGAATGGACTAATACTAATATTAATTAGTATTCCCTTAAGATCTGGGGAGTTAGCTACACTTTTTTCAGTGTATATTTTAATGGGAAGAATAAGAAAGATGAAAAATGGGAGGAAGACCAGAATAGTTGGGTGGAGGCCAGTCAACTGCATTTTGGGTCACCCACAGTGTTCAGCCTTCATTTCTCCTTCATTGTTTGTCTCATTTACTCTAAGCAATGATTATATGTTTTCTTTTTTTCTCTGAACTTTTTCTCTTCTCACACAGGATGACAACAGAATATCCGGGTCACTACGGTGAGGAAATGGACATGGTTTCCTACAGTTATGATTACTATATCCGAGGAGCAACAACCACTTTCTCTGCAGTGGAAAGGTGAGCCTTGCCTGTGGGTTAGGGCCAGAGCAGACAGGTCCATGCATGCCAGGATCATGTCTACAGTGATTTTGACCTGGAGTTTTCCCTATGTTGGTTTCCTGCTTGGACTACAATTAATGAGAGATTGGCTGGACAGTGGTAATCATTGGGAAGTGAGCTGTTCTTGTGAGCCTACTTTATAGATTGTCTCAGCCTCAGAAAAGAAGATGGATTCTAGCCGATTCTGGCCCAACAGATCCTCAAACTGGTATCCCAGGGTGTTCAAGTTCTTCTCACTCAATTTCAAAGAGCACTTTTTCTCACCAAACATCAGGAGGAGAGGGCAAAATGGTGGAAGGAATACCCACCATCAGAAGGGACCCTCTCCAATCAGTACCTCTATAGGACCCCCACTTTCCGTGGTGGAAGGAGAGGGAAGGGCTGGGTCTGATGAGAAAGTGCCATATTTAGAAATAAAAGAGGATAATATAAATAGCCTGAAGAAAAAACAGCACTAAACATTTTCACATCCATTTGCAATCAGCTCCCCAAACTTATCTCAAAACACCAAAATAAGCAAGAGGAAGAAAACAAGAATTCTTACTAATGCAGAGAGAGGCCTGCATAGTTTCCAGTATTAAAAGGTTGATTTGACCTATTTTCAGTCAGGGGATAATCACTTTAGACAGCAAATGAATTCCTTAAAGTTACAGTAAATGATTAGTAAACAAAATGAAATTTATATTAACTCACCTAAATAATGGACTATCATGAATTTCAGAGTAATTTATCTTTCGTGTATATTCATGTTTTTCAGTGAAATGACATCTCATCTAACTGATGTTATTTCATGTAAGTTTAAAAAACAAAAACAAAGAAAAACAAAATAAACAAACTTTAAGTAGCTCTGAAAAGGTACAGTATATGTTTATGCAGACAAACCCCCTCAGTTCTCATATCATTTTTTTTTTAAAGATTTATTTATTTATTTATACAAGCACTGGGTACAGTCAGAAGTGCAGGGGGGTGAGAGAATTCACCAGAGCCAGAGAGGGGAACAGAACAGGCAGACCGACGAAATACACTGCTGAGGGGAGCAGCGGGCGGCAGGAGAGGTCTGCGCGCCATGTGGGACCTTCGCCTGGCGGCCGGGGATCGAACCAGCGCTGCAGAGGCTGCGGGCAACTTCGCAGCCCAGTGCTCAACCGCTGTGCCACTGGGGAAGCCCTCATATCATTTTTTCATTTTTGTTACCTAGTATCTAGAAGCAGTGAATTTAAAAAATGAATAGAGAAGAAAGTACTTAGAGTGACACTCACTTCACCAGTGAGAATAACTGACTGACACGACCATCACAAATACATATTTAAAAAAAGAAAGAAAAGACTAAGAGACTATGGAAGCCTGTGTCATTTAGCAGGGGTGCGTAACCCCAAAACACAACACTGGGTAACAGCCTAGCAGGTGCTTGCTGTTCCTAATGATGTCTCCAAGTCAACATGAAAATTAGTTCTGTGTTCCCTGCTTAAAGAAGGCGGGCAAGGATACAGTAAAGAAAGGATATCATCCAAACTTATTGTAAAATAAATGTATTGGGGTTGTTTGAATGTTCAGTTCTATTGGCTTAGAAATTTTAAGCTTTGTGCATTAACCCAGAATCCTGAAAACTGAGATATTATGTCAGGCATTTGTTTAAAATGATGAGACCCACGCAGTGATGAAAAGATCACTAGCACAGTGTGAAAGTCCTCAGCTCTGCAGACAGATACTGAAACCATTGTCAGTGCGGCTCACCAGGCCCAACTTTCTTTTCCTCTATATGCAAGTCATAGTCTTTTCTCCTGTACTGGACTTCTTAATCTGGCCACAATTGACAGCTGGAAGCAGATAATTCTTTATTGCAGGGGTCTGTGCTGTGCCTTCTAGATGCTCCTACCCCTAAAAGGCAGTAGCAACAGTGCACCCCTCACTTCCCAAGTTGTGACAACTAAGGCTCCCTGAGGAGTAAAATTTTCTCTAGTTGAGAACACTGTCCTGTGAGAAAACCAAAGACCAAGCTTGTTTGAGTCTTTTGGTCCTTTTAGAACCAAATCTAAATTTTGCTCAGCATCAATTCATAGTGTTTTTAAAGTGTGAAAAAAGATTAAATCCTGCCATTTGCAACGACATGGATGAAATAAGTCAGTCAGAGAAAGCTAAACAAGGTATCACTTCACTCAGGTTAGATAACAAAGCACTAAATGAATGAAGAAAACAAATCAAAAGTTCTTAGACTATAAAAACAAAATGGTGATTACCAGACGGAAAGGAGGAAGCAGAGTGGCTAAATTGAGTAAAGGGATCAATTGCATGATAAATAATGAAAGCTAGACTTTTGGTGAAGAGCATAATATAGTATATACAGAATTTGATATATGTCTGTACACCTGAAATCTCATGTTACTACAATTTTAAAAAGAGTATACTGAATGCCTGCTCATAGATCGTAATCATCACATTCTTGTCTGCAGTAATGAAATTCGTTTGATAAACAGGCATGCTACCAATCTGCTAATCTCTGTCTAAAACAAGTCATGTCCTCTTTTGACAACCACAATAATAAATCAATGGTTGGTCACCCAGGCTCTTGAAGATCTGAACTGGAGGAGCCAGCAGGGACTCTTTGCAATCACTCTAAACAAACAATTTGGAACAGCAGCCTCAGAATGTTAAAGCCTGTGAAAGGCTAGTTGAGCAACACCATAGAGCTGGCAAGAGCAGAACTAAGGGTGGTCAGCCCTGTCCTCCAGGTCAGAGGCTGGAGGGAGACCTTGTTAGTGCTGGTGCTTAGAGTCAACTAGGAAGAGACACCACAGATTGAAAAGAGGATATGCTTTTGAAAAGTTGTGTGATCAAATATGAGATGACTGTTTTTGCCCTTTGACAGGACTGTGCAAAGAATGTGACAGCCATTTCCTGGGTTGTGAGTACCTAGTTATGAAGACAGTGTGATGTAAGAGAAAGATGAGGTTTGAGTCAAAAAAACTTGGACTCTGACATTGTCACCTAATTATCTTAAAGAAAATCACCTATTTCTCTGATTCTACTTCTTTCCCTAATCACTGCAACATTGAGAGGATTAAATGAGATGTCAGATACACTGGAGGTGTCCAGTGAACTGTAATAATAATCCTCATCATTGCCATTAGGCCCAGAGAGCTGCATGCAAACTAGGCACTCAATACTTTTTGTTAAATGGTTGACCAAAGAATACAGACTTGCCCTTAGCAAAGAATATTCCTTGAAATACATGCACATGGTGTTTTTTAAAATTGAGCAATTTTATATACTCTCATCCCCATGCCTCACCTCTTAAGCAAATATGCAATTCAATTCCTGCTATGCAAGAAGGGCATTTTTCTCTTTTGCTTTGTGTGGTTTGAGGGTTGTTCCTCTTCAATTCATTTCTCCACAGTGGTGTTTTCTGAAAGGAAACACATAGTGTAGTGCATGTGTTACCCAGTACATGGTAAGTCCTCATAGAAGAAAGAATAAATAAGCAAATGGATAGCCTAGTTAAAAAAACATTATTTAAAATGCAATGGAGACCAGGTTAAAGAAATGTTCATTCCAGGGCCTCCCTGGTGGCATAGAGGATAGGTCTCAGCGCTATCACCCCTGCAGCCTGAGTTCGATCCTTGGCCAGGGAGCTAACCCCATATACGGTGCAGCAGACCTCTCCTGTCTCGCCTGCTGTTCCCCTCAGCAGTGTATTGCAGTCAGTCTTCCTGTTCTGCTTCCCACTCTGTCTCTGGTGAATCCTCTCATTCCCTGTACCTCTGGCCTGTACCCCAGCTCTTCTGTGCAAAATAAATAAATAAAATCTTTTAAAAAAGAAAAAAAGAAATCTCATTCCAAACTGTTACCCCATGTACTTGAGGCATCTTTGGAAGCATGCAGGGGTCTGGCCACTAGTGCTGAACTTGACCAGCTGGTAACCTAGGTTGGTCACCTTCAAGGTGCAACTGGAACTGGATGAGGTGCCCAGGACTCCTAACATCAGACGCCATTTACCTGTTGGTTTCCTAGAGACTTCCTAGAAATGCCAGCTTGAGAGCAAAGTGGGATTAGGTGTACTCACATCCTAGATTCTCCAAAGGTTATCCATTGCTTTCTACCAGCAGCAATTCCTCCTAAATATCTTTTCTCACTGACATTAGCTCTTTGTTTCTCCCCACAGGGATCGCCAGTGGAAGTTCATTATGTGCCGGATGACCAACTACGACTGTGAATTTGAAAATGTTTAGATTTGCTAAATCTTGGTGACAGGAAGGGGGCCAAGAGGCCTGAGGGTGTCCACATATGTTAATATCAGTTGGAACGCCTAAGCTGTTTCTCCGGCTCACCTCACTTCTCCCTGAGCTGATTGGAGCTGCAATGCCAGCTTTCTGGGACTTTCTGACTAGTCTCATGCTTATAATAAAATCCACAATATGCCAAGTTACTCACTTTTAACGTGTTCCATAGCAACCGTTTTATATGACTGACAATGGTTTTCTTGCACACCTCCTATATGACGTTCGTGTTCATAGTCTGATACGATGTCTGGCTCCTGGAGCACCTGCCACAGCCTTGCTACTGCTTTAACTACACCATGAGCTGCAAACAGGCCTGGTGCTAAGCAGTGTCTGTGAAAAGTTTTGGTGGAGTGGAGAAAAAGGGGCACATTTTAAGGAAGATGATAATGAAGGATACATGCGGTTGCATCTGTGAGAATCAAGTCCAGAGTCCTCCCCCAGAGCTGACCTGCTGTGTGGGTGTGACTGGCTTCCACCTTCACCCTCCCCAGGAGCCATGCTTGCTTGGAAGTTTAAGTGTGGGCCTCTGCTCACCAAGAGTAAGGACACTGGGCATTAGATGGGGAGATGGAAGGATTTGGGAACAGAGATGAAAGACATGGGATTGGAAGAACTTTCTGAATTGGAAAAAGAATGGTAATGAGAACAAATGCAGGTAACAGAGGAACCCCTAAGAATCAATCTCAAGTTAGATAAAAACAAAAAAGAAAGACATCAGTAAACGGGACTCGGATTAGAAATTTGGGGAGAAGAGAAGCATGGTCAGCTTACTTTGAGAAATGGAAAAGGGGGTTTGAGTCACTGGCACCTGAGGGGATGGCCAGGACTCCTGGGAAAGCTGTTGTATGCCCAGGAGTCAGGGGAAATTCTAGCAAAGTCATCTGGATTGGGCCTGAGTTTCTGGATGGGAAAGGCTGCCTTGGAGATGCACGTCCCTCCTTTGTGTAGTTTAGGGGTGTCTTCTGCAGAGGTGGCACTCTTTTTTCCCATTTTGATGTCTCTGTCCCCACCCTTTGTACCCTCCTCATCATAAAAGGAATAAAAATCTAATATTCACTATGCTTCAAATGTTAAGGGTCAGTGTTTACTATCTCTCCCCCCTCTTTCTGATTATTCATCCATTCTAGAGATGACTAATGTGATTTGGGCCAAGTACCACAAAAGGGTAGGAATACTATAAAAATGATGGAGTATGGTTGGGTAATCTGATAATGAAAGCATAAATTGCTGGGCCTCCCTGGTGGCGCAAAGGGTTAAGATGCAACCTCTGAAGCTATCTGCAGCCACTGCAGCACGCGTTCAAACCCTGGCCAAGGAGATACCCACATGGTGCAGCAGACCTCTCCTGACTTGCCCCCTGCTCCCCTCAGCAGTGTATTTGAGTCAATCCTCCTGTTCCCCACTCTGTCTCTGGTGAATCCTCTCAACCCCTTGCACCTCTGGCCTGTACCCCATTTCTTGTATGCATAAATAAATAAATCTTTAAAAAAAGTGATAAGCATTTTCATTAAGGATTGGACAAGGGATATAATCATACTTTTTGGCCTTTGGGTCTAGCTTCATTCATCCTCAGCATCCTTCAGCCATTCTTGTACCAATAAGTCATGTGCATTTTTAACCATGAGGAATCCTTATTTCTTTTATCCACAGTTTGCCTTTTGCTTTCAGATCTATGTGATGCTCCCCTCCTCAGCTCCCCCAGGGGACTCAGGAGGGCAGTCATCCAGGCAAAACTACCGAAGTTGTCCACCCATCTACGAGGCCACAATGATGAGTCTTGGACAGTGAAGCTACATTTCCCGGTCAAGTTTCTGGTGTTGTGAACAGGCAGTCAGAGCTAAGGACATCTTCTTCCTTTGCTTCAAGTCTGAGGCACTGTTTCTTATTATGAGTTTGCTTTATTTCTGCCATTCCATTGTTTCTACTGCTCTGGCAATTTTAATTTACAAAAGGTTTCACTGTTATTTTTCACAAAGGGAACCATTAATATTTTAACAATTACAGTGCTAGCTCAGGATGACAGCCAAGAAATGGCCTTACTGGGTGTATAAAGCACAGCTGGAAGGCGGGGAGGCTGCAACAGAGCACACGTCAAAGGACTCCTAGACTCTCCACTGTGCTCACCCACACTCTCTCTTGCACCCCCATTCTCTCCTAAGTCTTCTGTCTTCATCATGGCTGCAAAATCAGCCAATCCACTTTGCTTGTTTCCTTCCAGTTATGCTTCACACACAATAAAAGAAAAAAAAAAGAGAGAGAAAGAAATCCATAAGAAGTGCCTGTGCCAAGTGGAAGAAATGGAGAGGCTTTTTACTAAAAGAAAAACTTCTTGACATCTTGGCCTATGACAATGACATCAAAGACATTATCAACTTGGTTCTAATCTGAATAATTTATACTTTCTATCATATGTCAACCAGTAAGAACTAAATATCAGAGGGGAGTTAAATCCATGATCTTATGACTGCAAACTATCTCTCCAAGCTCTTGTTATTTGAAGCTTCCTAGTTGCTCCATGACCTTGGATAAGCACTTTGCCATAATCTTTTAAACAATAAGCCCACTGTTTAAAATTAGGTTATTATTTCAGGTAATCATCGTGTTTTCTTGCAATTTTAGAATTCTGTGAACTCTGACCTGTACCAAATTGTTTATAAAAGACTTTCCCATGACTTTTTTTTTCCAGAGAAGAAGTCTAGAACAAGAGTCTAGAACCCGGGTATTACTCTGGCTCTGACAGAGGGTGGCTGGTTAATATTAGATAAATCCCCAAGTTGCCCTTTCTCCATCTGCCTAACACATATGGAGTTCTTTTCCAAACAACTTCACAAAATAGTGACCATGTAAAATGATGTAAGAGGAAGAAGACGCAGGGAAGAAAGGAAATTTCCCTTACCCCTCTGGGTTCTCTCCAGCTGGTTGAATAATCAAATTAGCATCAGACAGATTAATAGGAGGGAAAAAGAACATATGGAGATTCAGTGTAGATGTGAATTCCAAAGCCAGCTAAGAAATGGGGGAGGGGCCTGAATCTTCAAGAGGAGAAGAGTAGAAATCACATGACGAGTTTGGATGACTCATGATGAAGACCAGAGGCTCTATCATTGATGTTTGCTCTTTCATACAGATAATTTTCCTTAATGGAAAAGCTATTTCTAGTAATAACCCTAATTGTGAGTAATATCTACAACTTGATTCTTCTAGGTAGTTAAGGGAGTGATAAGAATGTCTTGTGATCCTTTAGGGCCTCAGCTGATCTTAGCTTAAAATAATCCACCTGCCAACATGGCACATCTTGGGAAGGACTCTCCTGAGCATCTTGGTAAGACCTATTCTGACTGTCATGGGGAAGGCTATATGAATATCTGGGGACACCTACCTTAAGAAGAAAATGATTGCTACTCATGCAATCAACAGCCCAATAATGAGAAATGAGAAAATTAACAATGAAGACACAAGTTCAAGAAAGTTTCCTGAGGACGTTAAGTCTATGGTTGACCCTGAAGGACAGCCTCAGCCTCAGACTCTCTCAAAGAGTAGAAACGAGTGTGGGCTCTCAAGTCATCATGTCTGGGCCCAAACCCTGACTCTCTCATTTACCAGCTCCATGACCTTGATCAATCACCTCCCTTTCCTGAGACTCTATTTCCTGACCTATAGCGATAATAACAGTATCTATATCATAACATCACAATAAGGATTAAATGAGATCACATAGTGTCTTGGATACAATAAGTACCCAACATATATAGTAATAGGAGTAAGAATATCATTAACACACATCAGAAATAATGTAACTTTGGTAATACCTTATGTAATATAAATAAATTGCATATTAGTAGGTAGATGATAGGAAAGGTTCATGAAAGAAATGAAACTTAAATTTGACTTTCATTCATTCATTTACTCAAGGATAAGACAGTACAGCTGCCTAGAAAAGTCCTTTAAAATAATGATACAAATAGCACACAGCTTAGATTTTCATGGGACTTACAACTTTTCACAGAAAGTTATTTCCATTATCTCCACCAAACTGAAAAGTAACAAGTCTCCTTATTCATTTTTAAACCTAGTTATTAGACTCTGCTGTGCCTTACTAGACACCAAAAACCTGCCATTACATGTCTTCTTTCTCATCCTGAGTCAGCCCTGGCCACCCCACAGGAGCCCAGTTGTCAATGTGAATGAGTGAGCTTCTGTATCAGTGAAAAATGGGGAAGAGGAGCATTCCCAAATGCAAATTATGATATTTTCTGACTTGGACCCTCACTGTTTACTTCTTTGTCTTTTTTTATACTTCTCTGCCTTTCCTGGCTTTATAAAAATAATTACCAGGAAAATGAATAACTATAAGAAAGTGAAAATCAAAATCAACAAAAAACTATGAACCAGAGACACTTTTAGAGGGGTGGGGGGCGGGAGGGGAGGGATTGGGGTCAGAATGGGGGGGTGCAATTGTATGGGGAATATAAAATAAAATTTATTATTTAAAAAAATGATAATAATAATTACCATTGATTGCACTTACAATCAAAAAACAAAAGTAATGTTAATCTTATGGAACAAAAATAGGCACCAGCTGCTAAGCAGTTCAGCCCCAGGATGGTGTTCCGACTGAAAGGTGAGCATATGGTGACTTCATGGAAAGAATGAGATTATAAAACCAGACTCTTTCATCTAACCGGCCGCCTAGTGGGCTATAATTTAATATGCGGCATTACCTGCTCTTCCCAACTCCGTCACCATCCCCAGAGACAATGGAACAGATGTTTGCTGTGTCATACGACCAACAAGAAACCAGCATGGAAAACTCTCCTACTCCCGAAGTCGAGCTTGTTCTTCAAGACCAAGCATAGATTTATTTTCCGCAGGAAACTTTTCTGCACCTTCTAAGGCTGGTTGGGTCCTATCCTGGCTCCCTCAGTACTCTGGACATCATTTTCATTCCCCAAGGGCTTAAGCCATGTCTTTATTGTTGGTGTCAGTGGCTGTCAAGGTATTTTATGCATCGTGGGCATCTAGGACATCTGCTTTAAAAATAATCTGGCAGTTTAATTGAGAAAATCTATCCATTTCATCCCTTTCAGAGCTGCTCACTGGGGTGCCTCCCTGATCATGCAGGGGTTAAACACACAATGCTATCAAGCTGTCATCAGCCACTGCAACATGAGTTCAATTCCTGGCCAGGGAGCTAACCCACATATGGCACAGCAGACCTCTCCTGTCTCACCTGCTGCTCCCCTCAGCAGTGTATTTCAGTAGATCTGTCTGTTCTGCCTCCTATTCTGTCTCTTGTGAATCCTCTTACCCCTCCCCCACACTTCTGGCCTACACCCCAGTTCTTGTATGCTAGAAATAAATAAATCTTTAAAAAAAAATAGCTACTCATAAGAGTAAATTGGAAAATACAACAGTCATAATTCATATAAATGTTCAGTAAATATATATCAACAGTGGCACATAATTGCCAATTTTGGACAGTTTATGACCCAACATCTATGTTGAAAACAACATATGAGCAAACAGCACAGAATTGGGCACTTGGGGAGTAGGAGATACAGTCTTGTTTGCCAACACTGGAAGGGACTGAAAGGACCAAGGGGAAAAGGGTTCAGGTTGGTAAAATTGGTGAAACCCTACCTGCATTGGAAGACTGCTTTTAAGTCTGATAACAGCGCATGCATTCCAGCAAGGCAGAGGCAATGTTTGTTTAATGTATCACTGGCACAACAAATTCTTGATGAATAAACAAAAGCCAGTTCCCTAGAACAAACCCAAACACAGATTATGATTTTATGACCCTTTATGACCCTTGCCTTTTCTTGGTACTCTCAGAGTTTGCTTGGATTAATTTGCCATCAGTTTAACTGAAGTTAGTGAAGCCAGTTTCTTAGAGCTAGTCAGTTTCCTGCTTACATGGTAGCCTGAAAATCACAGACCATCTGTGCTCATGTCCAACCCCTGGTGGATTTTTGACTGGTAGATTTTTTTCTGAACTGGGTATCTCCATGGCTTCTTTTGTTGGCAGACTCAACGGTGTCCTCATTAGCCATTACCTCATGGAAAGAGGTTCTTAGAAATCAAACAAGCTCTGAGTCGCATCTGCCTATCCCCTGTTGAGACAGTACAATTTCATGGGCATTGGTTCTGCCCTTAGTCTTCCAGGAGGAAGAAATAAAAACTATCTCATAGCCTGAAACAGCACAAAGTTGGAGAAGACCTTCACTCTATAGAAACTCAGAGTGAAGACAGGCTCTTCGTTCTCCGTATGTGTAGGCAAGCCACCAGAAGCTTCACAGGTCTCTGCAGAGAGGTAGGAAAAAATTTAGTGATTCTTTCCCCATTGTTGGAATAGGGAGCTGAGACTCAGCCCTTCCCACCATGGCACCATTGCTTGCGGTAAATCCATAACTTCACATGTCTGGACTTTTGTACACGTCACATTGACTGTTCAACAAGCTATTATTAATCAC